GTGAACTCGGCCTCCTGCAGACAGATCCAGACTGAGTCTGTCTGCGTCAAACAAAACAAGAACAAAATCACAAAGCGCATGTGCAAATGCACAAAACAAGGGGGCGGAGCTTAGTAGCGTCAATGACCCTCACCAGCACTCTCACTGGCTGGATGATTACAGTCTTCACCATTGATATGATTTCCTTGGTAACACCCAACAGGATTCATGAGCTTGCTTTAATTTAATGTAGTTTAAGGTATTTTAGTGAATAAAGTGATAGTTTTAAATAGTTAATAGTGGAAGCACAAGGTAGGTGTTTCTAATAAAGTGGCCAGTGAGTGGAAGCACAAGGTAGGTGTTTCTAATAAAGTGGCCAGTTAGTGGAAGCACAAGGTAGGTGTTTCTAATAAAGTGGCCAGTTAGAGGAAGCACAAGGTAGGGGTTTCTAATAAAGTGGCCAGTTAGTGGAAGCACAAGGTAGGTGTTTCTGATAAAGTGGCCAGTTAAGGGAAACATAAAGTAGGTGTTTCTAATAAAGTGGCCAGTTAGAGGAAGCACAAGGTAGGTGTTTCTAATAAAGTGGCCAGTTAGTGGAAGCACAAGGTAGGTGTTTCTAATAAAGTGGCCAGTTAGGGGAAACATAAAGTATGTGTTTCTAATAAAGTGGCCAGTTAGAGGAAGCACAAGGTAGGGGTTTCTAATAAAGTGGCCAGTTAGTGGAAGCACAAGGTAGGTGTTTCTGATAAAGTGGCCAGTTAAGGGAAACATAAAGTAGGTGTTTCTAATAAAGTGGCCAGTTAGAGGAAGCACAAGGTAGGTGTTTCTAATAAAGTGGCCAGGGAGCGGAAGCACAAGGTAGGTGTTTCTAATAACGTGGCCAGTTAAGGGAAACATAAAGTAGGTGTTTCTAATAAAGTGGCCAGTTAGAGGAAGCACAAGGTAGGTGTTTCTAATAAAGTGGCCAGTTAGTGGAAGCACAAGGTAGGTGTTTCTAATAAAGTGGCCAGTTAAGGGAAACATAAATTATGTGTTTCTAATAAAGTGGCCAGTTAGTGGAAGCACAAGGTAGGTGTTTCTAATAAAGTGGCCAGTTAGAGGAAGCACAAGGTAGGTGTTTCTAATAAAGTGGCCAGTTAGTGGAAGCACAAGGTGGTGTTTCTAATAAAGTGGCCAGTTAGTGGAAGCACAAGGTATGGGTTTCTAATAAAGTGGCCAGTTAGTGGAAGCACAAGGTAGGTGTTTCTAATAAAGTGGCCAGTTAGTGGAAGCACAAGGTAGGGGTTTCTAATAAAGTGGCCAGTTAGTGGAAGCACAAGGTGGTGTTTCTAATAAAGTGGCCAGTGAGGGGAAACACAAGTTAGGTGTTTCTAATAAATTGGCCAGTTAGGGGAAGCACAAGTTAGGTGTTTCTAATAAAGTGGCCAGTTAGGGGAAGCCTCTATTACTCATTAAACTCCAGCACCAAAGCAGAAACACTATATCAGCTCCTCTGTGTCTCCTTTTATGAACGTGAGTGTATGGAGGCTTCCTGGCAGTGTGACTCAGCTGTTTGGTCATTTCCCGTCTTTCTGAACTCACCTGTCACTGCTGTGTGTGTGTGTGTGTGTGTGTGTGTGTGTTTGTGTGTGTGTGTGTGTGTGTGTGTTATTTAATGGTGTGATGTTACTGTGTGTGTAAAGCTCACTTTGATCTCTCATTCCTTATGCTGGTGACAAACTGGATAACAAATTAGGTGGTTTTCTTGCTCATATGCTTGACCTGAACACGTCCAGTTCTCCTTTTGGACATGTATTTAGTTGGACTGTAAAAACGCGTCTGAAAGTGTTGATTCAACAGCATTGATTTTTCTTAATGTTAGCATTAAAAACAATTAAATAAACATTATTTTTTTACTCCATATAAAGCTTCACAGTCTATTTCTGAACATAAAAGAATCAAATCGAGTTGATTTGTGGTGAAATTCAAGATGAAATGTGCGATGATGCACTGAACCACTTTCTAAAGAATTGAATTTAATTAATATTTGGAAACATTTGAGTCATTTGAATTCTGAACCATTGTTGAATCGATTTCCAGCAAAATTTAAGATGATGCATTGAATCATTTTCAAAATAACTGAATCAAATTCATTTGTGGTGAAATTTAAGATGATGCATTGAATCATTTTCAAAATAACTGAATCAAATTCATTTGTGGTGACATTTAAGATGATGCATTGAATTGTTTCCTATAGAGCCAAATCGGATGATTTGTTATGACGTTTGAGAGATGAAGCACTGAATCATCCACTAAAGAACCAAATCAAAATGATTTGCACAGTAATGTGCGATGATGTGTTGAATCATTTCATAAAGAATCAAATTTTATGGATTTGTGGTGAAATGTGAGATGACACATTAAGTCATTTTCTAAAAAAAATGAATCAGTTTGACTCCTGTTGAAATTTGAGATGATGCATTGAATTATTTTCAAAATAACTGAATCAAATTCATTTGTGGTAGAATTTGAGAGATGAGGCACTGAATCATTTACTAAAGAATCAAATCAAAATGATTTGCAGAGTAATGTGAGGTGATGTGTTGAATCATTTCATAAAGAATCAAATTTTAATGATTTGTGGTGAAATGTGAGATGACACATTAAGTCATTTTCTGAAGAATTGAATCAGTTTGATTCCTGTTGAAATTTGAGATGATGCATTGAATCGCTTTCAAAACAATCGAGTCAAATTGATTTGTGGTGAAATTTGAGATGATGCATTAAATCGTAATTGAATAGAATCGTTAGATCAGAGATTTACACCCCTGATATTTAAGGCTCATCATCACAGCTTTAATGTACTCTAATTTGTTTTACCTCCTCTGTTCTGTTCTGTTCGTTTGCGTCTGTTTTCCCTGGAGGTTCTCACTGATCCTCTGCAGACCCTCTCAGGCCCGCCGTTATGAAATGAAATTTAATCTCAGATTGAGTTAATGTCTCCGTTTCCAGGCTGGGATTTGATTAAAAGACTTTTTATTGGGAGAGGATTGGAAACGTGAGCTGAGAGGCTGCTGGACCCCGACTGTGGTAAAAAATATCCACCTTCTGTTGCGTCTCAGAGATGACCGCCAATCACGGAGCACGCTAAGACCAAACGCTGCTTTCAAGTGCAGCTCAGAGAGACGTTTTCTCTGAGGAGGAGCTGATTCACTCACTTGGTCTGGTTCAGTGTGCTTAATGTCAGAATCAGAATCAGTGGAGTGGCCTGGTTTTGCCAGCTGGTGAGTTGACAGTGCTGTAACTGGACTCTGCTGACGTGCTCTGTCCACACTGTGTGACTGATGCTACGCTCCACTGTTCCACAGCACCCCCACTGCTTTTCTGCCCGTGCTCATCCACAGCCGAGATAAAAACATTAATGTTCTTCATATCATAACCATGACTGTTTTCATTCCTGTTATTTATGAAACTTCCTCCATTCTAATGATGCACACAAAAGCCACTTGAGCACTTGCTCCCCCTTGTGGACAACCTTCAGTCTGCTAAACTGTGTGAGGGCCAGACTTGGCAAAACAGCTGGACAGTGTATGATAACAACATCAAGCACATCGGCCTAAATAAACAGCACCAACGGAAGCCCATCAGAACCTCAGAACCAGCCTGTTCAACAACAACCAGTGCAGCATTCAACACACAACAGTATATCAGTAAATCTATGAAATCTATTGGATGTTGAAAGTCGCGCAAAATTAAATGTCAATATATAAACTTTACAGGAGAAGGAAAAAACATACTCTACTTTAATGAAAGTCAATGGAACCAGACGTCTTTCCAAGTAATTCTGGGTCATTTCTGTTGGTCCATTCATCATGAAATTTACACAAAATGTATAGGACCACAGGTATTTTCAAATTATGTCAAAAACTGAAAAACGGACAAAAATGGAGATACAAGGTGTTGTTTAGACAGCAGCGACATATCAGCAAAAAACGTTCTTAACTTTTAATGTCCGTTGATGTAAAGAGGTTTTATTACAAGTGATTTTGGAGCATCTCTATTGGTCCATATATATAAATGTTAATATATCGTCACCGTCCAAAAATTTCTTTTTTTAGATTTTTAGCTTTCTGCATAATTTTAACAGCAGCTGCCCATTGCATTGTGTGAAAATTTCATAATCAATGGACCAATAGAGATGCTCCAAATATATATATATATATATATATATATACAGATCTTTAGCCACAGAGCTGAAAGATCATAACAACAGTATAATCAAAATTCATACAGCAGTAATTAACAGCATATTGTGGCATCCACCACTGGCTGCAGGAGCACAGGAGGCGTGGTCATGCCAAAAAGCCACATGCAAAGGCTCTTGGGAGGCACCATGCTCCCATTACAAGGAGAGACATCTGTTTCAAATGTTTATGTTGCTTTAGTAAGATGTGATTATGTGTTATGCATGTGATATTGGGCTGTGGGGTAGTTGAGTGCCTGTTCAATAAAAGAGCATTTGCCTGCATACACAGTGTTTCCCTCTGGCTCTTCTTTCTCTGGACGCTACAATATGTTGTGTTTTGGATGCTGGTATGCTGGTCAGCAGCAATGGAAGTTGTTATGCTGGTCACGAGCATAACCAGGATATCGCTGTTGTCGGAAGAAAACCTTGTATCTCCAAAAAGGTAACTTTACAAGAGAAGGAAAAAACCTTCTTTACTTTTAATGTAAGTCAATGGAACCAGACATTTTTCCTAAGTATTCTGGGCTGTTTCTTTTAGCCCATTCATCATGAAATTTACACACAATGTAAAGGGCAACAGGTCCTCTCAGATTATGTGAAAAACTGAAAAATGACAAAAATGGAGATACGACGTTTTCTTCCGACTACAGCGATATGCTGTGTTTTGGATGCTTGTATGCTGGTCAACCAGCATGACCATGCTTGGTGACCAGCCAAAGCAGCACCAGACCAACACTGGACCAGCATAAACCAGCTTAGACCAGTATGGAATGCATGCTGCACTGTGCTGGATTTT